TTCATTCATCCAACCATCCATTCATTCTTTCCCCCTTCCTTCTTCATTCCATTTAATTCCGTGCATTCTTTCTTTCCTTCACTTCCTGTTTCTTCATTCATTTTTCCCATTCATTCATTTATTCTTTGTTTTTTTAATACTTCCTAGGATCTTTTTTTAAAATTAATTATTTATTTAGGCTGCACCGCGTCTTAGTTGCGGCGAGCGGGATCTTCGTTGTGGCACTCGGGGTCTTTAGTTGCAGCATGCAGACTTCTTAGTTGCAACATGCAGACTCTTAGTTGGCGCATGCCGACTCTATGCGGGCTTCTTAGTTGAGGCATGCATGCGGGATCTAGTTCCCCGACCAGGGATCAAACTGGGCCCCCTGCATTAGGAGCACATAGTCTTACCCACTGGACCACCAGGTAAGACCCCATTAGTTTGTTTTTAAAGGAATATTTATTAATCATCTGCACAAGCTGGGCGTCCTCTGGGGAGGGCACGTGGGAGGTGGGACGGGGAAGCGTTGCTACCTGTCTCCTGACCATTGCTCTCAATTTCTCTTGCTTTTCCAGGAGACAAAGGGGACACCCATGTCTTTAAAGGAGAACTTCTCCCTTTGGGTCCTGGATAGAGAGTCTCCTGTGTCAGCTTCCCAGATCACATAGAATTGGACATGAGGATGTGCTTTTTTAAAAAAATATATTTATTCATTTTTGGCTGCGTTGTGTCTTGGTTGCTGCACGCAGGCTTTCTTTTTAGTTGCGGCGAGCAGGGGTTACTCTTCGTTGCGGTGCGGTGCGCAGGCCTCTCATTGCTGTGGCTTCTCTTGTGGATCACTGGGCTCTAGGCGCGCGGGCTCAGTAGCTGTGGCCCACGGGCTTAGTTGCGCCGGGGCATGTGGGATCTTCCCCGACCAGGGCTCAAACCCGTGTCCCCTGCATTGGCAGGCGGATTCTTAACCACTGCGCCACCAGGAAAGCCCAGGATGTGCTTTTTGAAAGTGGTTTTTTCCAGGAAAACAGTTGTCTAAAAAAGCAGAGGGGTCATTCCTCACAGGGATGAAACAGTGGCCTCGGGTGGTGACATCTGGTTAGGGAAGTTTAGTTCCTCATGGTGGGACCAGGATGGGGAGGCCCGAGATATGCTGGGCACACTCTGCTGAGGTTCCCAGCCCCAGCACATCTTTCCTCCTTCCCCATCCCTACTTCCCCTGGGGCTAAGGAGGCTGTAGGCAAACCCCACTCACGTGCTGAGCTCCAAGTCATTGCCCCATGATTTATCCCCTACCCCAAGTTCCAGCAATGCACTTAGAAGGTCATCCCCAAGAAAACATCTCCCTTTTCCATCTCTGGCATTGGGGGAAGGGAGCTGGGTTGTGCACGGGCAGCTACTAAGCAGCTTCCCTACCACCATCCCCATGAAACTTCATTTTATTCATTCATTTGAAAAACATGTATGGAGATTCTCCTAAATGCCTGACATTGTTCTCTCTGCTGGAAGCAAAACCGAGTATCACAGTAAGAGTAATAACCAACAACCCCCCTCCTCCACAAAAAAATTGTCCCATGGTTCCAGCCTTCAAAAAGCCCCCTCGAAGTTACAACACAGAGTGACTGGGCTAAGATAGGAGTGAAAACAGGGTGCTAGAGAGGCACAGCATGGGGCCAACTACCCAGTTGGGTGAGAGGAAGGGGAGGTTCCCTTTGAACTGGAGATGGGAAGGGAAGAGGGCTGCGAGAAGTACCTAGTCTCTGGGGAGGGCGTGAGTGGATGGAGAAGAGAGGGGGAAGGGCAGAAGGGAGGAGATGACCCACTGCTCTCCATCCCCACTGACGACCAGAGCGGGGAGGATGTGTTGAGCATGAGGCAGTGAGGAGCCGTGAGGGGAAAGCCCAAGGAAATTGAGGCATCTCCTTCCCTCGGAGTCAGTGTGACTTCAGATGTTCTCAACTTCCTCCCCTGACCTGTTCCTCTCCCAACCTCAAAGCCTGGAGCAAAAAGTACAACCCTAACCACTTGGGTTCAAAATCACCTCCATTTTAAAGTTGCAAGCTGAGTCCCAGAGAGGTAAGCTGGCTTGCCCAAGGTCAAACAATCTGAAAGTGTAGAGCTGCGTTTTCCTGTTCCTGATCCAAAACTTTAAAAATGTTTTCAGGGGCTTCCCTGGTGGCGCAGTGGTTGAGAATCTGCCTGCTAATGCAGGGAACACGGGTTCGAGCCCTGGTCTGGGAAGATCCCACATGCCACGGAGCAACTGGGCCCGTGAGCCACAACTACTGAGCCTGCGCGTCTGGAGCCTGTGCTCCGCAACAAGAGAGGCCACGAGAGTGAGAGGCCCGCGCACCGCGATGAAGAGTGGCCCCCACTTGCCACAACTAGAGAAAGCCCTCGCACAGAAACGAAGACCCAACACAGCCATAAATAAATAAATAAAAGCAAAACTGTCAACAAGTAAAAAATAAACACAATTATAAAAAAAAAAAAAAAAAATGTTTTCAGTGAAACTTTCTTTCCTTTTGGAAGGTCTAAGGGGTTGGGGACATCTGAGCTCTCTGCAAGGACACAAGAACGCAGGAGTGTGCAGGGACCGCCTCTCTCATACGTACAGAGGCTGATTTTAAGGAAAAACCTACCCCAATCCAGTCCAGTGTCTGGCTCTAAACCGTAACAGGTGTTTGGCAGCCCCTTTTCTGGCCACATGAGGTCAGCATTGAGTCACTGACTACTTCCAGAATGTAGCCTGTACTAGGACAGGAAGCCCTTCCGGGGAAAATTTAGGAATGGGAACAGGGACCATGGCAGTGTCATCTGGAAAGATGACCTGGGGACTCTGACTCAGGTCACAGCATGGTCAGGGTCCTGACTTCACTCCCTCAGCTCCAATCTTCAAGGCTGGGCCCCTCCAGTCCTCTTCTCTGTTTTCTGGTTCCCTCTGTCGTGCTCCCACTTCCCATCTATGCCCACTCCAGCCAAGCTCATCTTCAGGAAACAGGCCCAGTTGCCAAGGTGACCAGCCGGTTAGCTGGCTCCTTCCACAGCCCCCTCCTTTCACCCCTCTTTTCTCGGGGCTTCCAAGGAGGGGGCATGTGTGTGTATGGAGAAAGGGGAGGTGGTCTTTTATCTCTTGGGAGCTCTGGGTTTGGCCAAAAGAAGTTGGGCTACCTCTCTTCCAAAGCCCCCTGAAATGGAGTCAGGAAGGCAGTGGGGCTGGGGGACAGGAGGAAGATTAGAACAACTAAATGGTGAATGTGAAGGTCCTATCTGGGTTAGGAAACGCCAGGGTTAGGACCTCTGCCCTCCATCTGCAGTAAGCACTGAACTAGGTGGAGTGAACTGATACCAGAAGAAGGGTTGGAGTTAGCTGTAGGCAGGACTTCCCAAAAATCATGGGTAGGAGAGAGACACTGGAATGAGCCATTAAGTGAGATTCTTCCTCTGCCATGGGGATGAAGGAGAACCATGCCTTTTGGGACCACACCCTTCCTTTGTTTTGGCAGGGAGGATGGACTCACTGACCTGGGGAGGATCATGTAGGCTGGATAGTTCTGAAGTGACAGGCAGGCTGAACCCCCTTCACCTTCCCTGCAAAGGGAAGAGTAGGAAAATGGAGGCAGGACCACGAGTGGGAGGTGGGTGTGTGGGTGGAGGCAGAGGCTGTTCTGTCCCAGATGAGAGACAGGACCATCAGTGGCCTTTTCCTCTATTCCCAAAGATCAGATATCCAGGCTTTGCCTCAAGCTGACTTCTGACCTCCAAAGATCCCTATGGAAAGGTCTGGATTCTAGGACCAGTCTTTGAATACTAGCAAGTGACCTTGAATAAGTCACTAACCCTCCCTCTGCCTTGGTTTCTTGTGGGTAAATGGGGAAAGTCACTATATGTCAAAGACTTTAATGTAACACATGACACACAACAGGATTCCGCAGTGACTGTGCACACATAGATTGATCAAGTGTAGCCTTTATCCTATTCTATCATAATGATTGGTTTCCATGTCCTCCTTCCCCATTAGACTTTGTGCTCCTTGAGGACAGGAAATTGTATGTTTGCATTTCTGTACAGGGCGCACAGTAGGTATTTAATACCTTTTTTTTTAAAGTTAAATGTGATTTTTTAAAAAAAACTATTTATTTTATTTATTAATTGAGGCTGTGCCGGGTCTTCATCAGGATCTTTAGTTGAGGCATGTGAATTCTTAGTTGTGACATGCGTGTGGGATCTAGTCCCAGACTAGGGATCGAACCCAGACCCCCTGCATTGGGAGCATGGAGTCTTACCCACTGGACCACTGGGGAAGTCCCTTGATGCCTGTTTATTGAATGGATGCATTCAGGAATGAATGAATAGCAGTTTCCTTTCTGCCCCTAAGCGGGACAGGGAAAAGCACTGTGGGTGGATGGCATGAAGGGACAGGCGACCTGCAGTCACTCAGCCTGGCCTGTGGCCTGTGACTTTGCCTCCTACACCCACAGAAGAAAGTCAGAGCCTCAGAGATTGTCCAGTCAACTTTCTCACTGCCCAGATGAGGAAACTAAGGCTCAGAGAGGGGAAGGCACTTGCCCAAGGTCACACAGCTAATGAGAGAGCCAGGATTAAGAATCTGTACTCAGGTTTCCTGATCTCCAGCCTAGGGCTATGCACACACTTCACTGCTTCTCTGGGGCTGTTGTCCTAGGGTAGGAAGATGATTTAGGGAAAGCTGGTTTCAATGTCCCCTCTTCTGCCCTCTGTTAGTCCTTTCTCACATCTAGCTCTAATCCTTTCCTTTTCACCCTAACCCATCCTTGTTCAGATGGGTCTGGCCTCTGAAGTCTGGCTCCTGCCTTAACCCTTTACCATCCAACTGGGAATAAGGCTCTTCCCTAAGGTTCCAAGACTCAATTTCCTTTCCCCCCTCTCAGCCCCAGGAACTTGCGGGAACCAAAGATGGGGAGGGATGTTGGTTGAACCGCTGGCGCTCCCTCCACAAATAGACCGAGAGGAGTTTCGGCTTAGATCTTGCTGGGATGGTGCGTATGCGTGTGGTGAGCAGGGCTGGGAGTGGGGAAGGGGTGCGGGGAGCCCCTGTTGCTTTTCCCCTTTGGGGTGGCCATTAGGTAGGCTTGGGGGAGGCGGAGTTTGGGGGGCCGGGGGCGGGGCTCCTGCGCTGGGAGGAAGAGGGGGGGCGCGCTGGCTCCAGCTCGGCTCAGACAAAAGGCGGCGGCGGGAGCGGGCGGGAGGTGGAGCGGCGCCGCGAGGGCCTCAAGGTGACACCCACCCCCGGCCCCGGCCCCCCCCGGCCCCGCCCCCCCGCCCGCCCCCCCACCCCCATCCCCGCGCCCCTT